TGGAAAAGCACGGTTTGTCCACTTGACATTCCATATTTCATTGGCATCCTTGATCATCTGATAGGTTCTTCCCAGATCACTCGGTTTCCAACATGCAAAACGACATGGAGCGGCTTGAAGGCAAAGTCTCGACACTTGCAAGTTTTGAAGAGAAGTTCAAATCCTTAGAAAACCAAGTGATCAATTTGCGTACTCAGATGGGGAGAGCAATGAAGGAGATCTCTACCCATGAGGACATGTTTGTGAAGCTGATGGAAGCAGAGGAAGTGGAGACAAGCGCAGAAGATGATGATTCAAACGCCGATGGGTCTTTCTAACATGCGGTAATACCTTCCAGTTACATCATGTTTCTGGATATTTAACAATGTCCTCAAGCAAAAGAAATGTTGTGTTTTACCGGGTATATTGTCTTTGTTTTGAGATAGTTGTACAATCTCCAATTTTCAAATTACTCTACTTGAACATTATATTTTTATATCTACCCTCACACAATATCCTGTCTAAAAGCCTCCTTACAGGTGCTCTTCATTCTTAAATATATATTGTTTATCTTATTTATCTGCTCTTATATCCCTCAATTGTGTTGCTCCCTCATCTATCCAATTCACCTGTTGAATACATGAAAGTTATAGCCACGATGTGAAGAATATGATTACAATACAAGTTCATGAACACTGGCTGAGGACTTAAAATGCAAGTAATGGTGCATCGAGATGATCTAGGAGTTTTGCCTCCGTTGATAAATTATGAAAGTCTTATGATGGAGATACGGGTATGTACACATGGTATCGAAGAGCTGATCTAAAAACCAGTCATGATCGTAACCAGTGATAAGTATCTGACAAGTCAGCTCTGGGCGGCAGAGAATGATCAAGACAAAACTCGTCTATGAAATCCCCTTTCATGAAAAGATGCAAAGACAATGCTATCTTTCTTGGAAATCATCGCTAAAGAGCTTAGTCAAATGATGGTTGTCACTTGCAACGATTTTGTTGTTGAGGAGCAACTTTTGATTTCCATTTATTGTCATTGTGTATAATCAACTCAAAGGATTGATAAAGATAAAGGGCCTGTCTTGCTCGACAGCACCTTTTGATTACTCTAATAAAAATGATCTCAGTAACAGTTGCCATGTGACCTCAAGTTATGCGACAATGATGTTTTGAGACTTGGATCGCCTCAAGACTCAATGGGGCCTCCGCTGGTCTATAATTATTATATCAACCCTTACAACCCTAGCCAACCTTCGAGCACAAAATTTGATCACTTGTAGTGTTTTGTTATCAAGAGCTGCGGATTCTACTTTTTCAGATCACTTGCATATTTTCATTTTTCACTCACTCACAGTATACGTCATCATACATAATGCCACCAAAACCAAGGATCAGCCGACAGCTTCCTTCAGCACCAAGCGATCGGATTACTAGA